TTCTCTCCCTGGCTCTGGGAAGGGGAGGGGGGTCTAGTGGTTAGAGCAGGGGGCTGGGAGCCAGGACTCTTGGGTTCTCTCCCCAGCTCTGGGAGGGGAGTGGGGTCTGGTGGTTAGAGCAGGGGGGGCTGGGAGCCAGGTCTCCTGGGTTCTATCCCCAGCTCTGGGAGGGGAGTGGGGGCTGGAGGGTCAGAGCAGGGGGGCTGGGAGCCAGGACTCCTGGGTTCTCTCCCCAGGTCTAGGAGAGGAGTGGGGGCTAGCGGTTAGATCAGGGGGATTGGGAGTCAGGACTCCGGCATTCTATTCCCCAGCTGTGGGAGAGGAGTGGGGTCTGGTGGTTAAAGCAGCAGGTTAGGACTCCTGGGTTCTCTTTCCTATTGGGGCAGGGGAGTGTGGTCTGGGGGGGGTGGGGATGCTCTCAGGACTCCCCAACCCTACCACTCACTCTCTGTGACCTTGGGCACATCCCTTCTCGTCTCTGGGCCTCCCGGGAACAGCGAATTTACCCAGGCCACAGAGGGGTTGGGAAACGTCTTTCTTAAATGCGGGCTAAGGTGCGCAAGCTCCTCAGATGACAGGAGCTAAGAAAGGCAGAGGACGATTCATTCCCTCAGTGGGACCCTGCCCCATTACAGACAGACCCAGGGGCGCAGTATCCCGTATATTCCTCCCCGGAGGAGCAGCTTTCAGCCACTCTCCAGAGGGCCAGCAAAGCGCATGCAGATGGTGCCCTCGGACGAGCCGGACCTACCTCTCCCGCAAGGCTGGGTTCCTGAGGTCTGAGATCAGGGGCATTGTCCTCTTAAACTGCTCGACCTTCGCCTTGGAAGTCTCGATAATTTCCCAGTTCCGATCCTTTGGTTGGAAAGGAAACAACGCCAGGTTTGGGGGATGGGGGCTCGGCAGGGAGGGGGAATACTTTGACGTGCATCACCCCCACCCCCAGAACGTCCCGCACAAGAGATCACACTGGGAGATCCTCTGCACCATGTCTAATGAGGACAGGAAGTGAGGGCCCTGCAGCTGCACCAGTCCTATTGATTCTCCCAGCACAATCCCACAGTGCCCCTCCACTGACCTCCAGCTAAGGTCTGCAGGAGCAGGGAGCAGAGCTCTAGGAAAGGCCCCCTTCTCTGTTGTCCCCAGTTCCCCAGCCGTCCCCCTCCAAAGAGCCCTTCCCGTACACCACAAGGGGACCGGCCGGCAGTGCTGGGCCACGGGAGCCTCTCTCTTACCTTGAGCTCCCGGCTCAGCTTGTTGAGCTTCCGGAAGAGCCCATAAGCCGTGGTCTCCATCACCTCCGTTTGCAGGGTCTTGAAGCTTCCTGTCTTCCACTCGTTCCAGTGGTCTTCCCACTCTTTGGTGATCTCCCACACCTGCTGCAGGTAGTCCAGCTCCTGCAGGGCACCACACAGAGAGAGCTTAGCCACAGCTGGAGAGACACCCGGGCCCACTTTCCTGCCAGTCCACCAAGGAGGAGAGGGGAGCTCAGGCCTTGGAGGTTCCCACCTTCTCGAGCTTCTGCAGGTCTTTGGAAGCAGGCTGTTCGATTTTGAAGATGCCCAGGTTGGAGCGCAGGGTGCTCTCCTCATCCTTCATGGTGGCCAGCAGCTGCCGCATCACCGCGATCTGCTCCAGGGCTGTCTCGCAGCTCACAGCACAGGTGAATGGACCTACGCGACAAAGAGCTCAGCGGCCTCTGCCCACGCGGCGCTTCTTCTGAATGACTGGGCCATTGGCCAGGGACCCTTTCCCTGCGCTTGGAGAGGTCAAGGGAGGCTGAACGAGGAAGTGATTAGAGCATGGAAGTGGGAGCCAGGACTCCTGGGTTCTCTCCCCGGCTCTGGCATGGGAATGGGGTCTAGTGGTTAGAGCAGGAGGGGCTGGGAGCCAGGACTCCTGGATTCTCTCCCTGGCTCTGGGAGGGGAGCAGGGGCTGGTGGGTTAGAGCAGGGGGGGCTGGGAGCCAGGACTCTTGGGTTCTCTCCACGGCTCTGGGAAGGGAGTGGGGGCTGGTGGGTTAGAGCAGGGGGGGCTGGGAACCAGGACTCCTGGGTTCAGCCCTGGCTCTGGGAGGGGAGTGGGGGGGGGTTAGAGCAGGGAGGGCTGGGAGCCAGGACTCCTGAGTTCTCTCCCCGGCTCTGGGAGGGCAGTGGGGGCTGATGGGTTAGAGCGGGGGGGGCTGGGTTCTGATCCCAGCTCTGGGAGAGGAGTGGGGTTCAGTGGTTAGAACAGATGGAGCTGGAAGGCAGGATGCCGGGATTTTATTCCTAGCTCTGGGAAGGTAGTAGGGTCTAGTGGGCTGGAGCAGGGGATGGGGGTAAAGAGTCCTGGGTTCTCTCCCCATCTGTGGGCAGGGAGGGCAGTCTGGTGGTTAGAACAGTTAGGGCTAGGGGGCAGGACTCCTGGGTTCTATGTCCTGCTCTGGAACAAAAGTGGGGTCTAGAGGGTTTGAACAGATGGGGCTGGGAGTCAGAATTCCTGGATTTTATTCCCAAGCCTACAGAGCATAGTGAAAGCTCAGCAGTGCTTGGTTTCCTGAAAGGTTGTTCGGTGAGGAGGTACGGGACAGTGATTTACAAGAGGACTAGAAAAATTAAGGGCCGTACTAGTAGGGAGGGACATTAGATTCAAACTCACTATCTGTAAATAGCTCAATCTACTGAACCAGTTTCTTCAAACCTGGCATGTTCTGCAGGTCGCACTGAGATCTAGACAACAAGCCAAATGGTGTTTCTAGCAGGAGCAATTTTGGAGTTCACCGAGGCCTCTGTTCTGTGCGTGGCGCCACCCCTCACCTTTGGTGCCAAAATCCTGCAGAAGGACCTGGGCCTTTTTCTTGAAATCGTCCGCAGAATGGATCAGGCCCGTCTTGAATTTCTCCTTGTGTTTCTTTAGCATGACATCGCTCTCCAGGATGCACTGCTGGAAGGACAGCCACTCCGAGTTGAGCGCTCCCAGTGTCTGCAGCACCTGGCACAAGGAGAGGGAAAAAGATGTGTTCTCCCTCCAAGGTTACCGCGGCTTCAAGGAGAAGGCTGGGCACGGTGGGGTCCAGAAATGTGGCTAGGAACCTCCTCCACCCCCATGGCACGGGGATCTCATCCATTTCCCTGGGGCTGGACAGGACTCAGATAATTTCTACAAGTCATCGAAATCTCTGCCAGTTACAGTAAAAGCTTTTTTATCCGGCATATTGGGGGAATGGAGGGTGCCCGTAAGTGAAAAATTCCGGTTAATTAAGTGAGAGGGAGTTTGGGTGCGGGAGGCGGTGTGGGGTGCGGGCTCTAGGAGGGAATTTGGGTGCGGGAGAGGGCTCAGGGTAGGGGCACGGGTGGGGGTGCAGGTCACAGGCTCTGGGAAGGAGTTTGGGTGCGGGAGGGGGCTTGGGGTAGGGGTTTGGGTGTGGGAGGAGTTTCGGGGTGCCAAATCCAGGGGGCGCTCACCTCGGGCAGCTCCCCGCAACCAATGACCTGTCCCGGCTGCTCCTAGGCGGCAGTACGGCAGGCGGCTCTGCGCGCTGTCTCCACCTGCAGGCACCGCCCCCACAGCTCCTATTGGCTGTGGTTCCCGGCCAATGGGAGCTGCGGAGCCAGCGCTCAGGGCAGGACGGAGGCAGTGCAGATCCCTTTGGGGTCTGGGACAGCGTGGCAGGGGTCCATACTTACCCCCTCGTCCACGGTCACTTCGTACTTCTCCAGAATGGCAAACTGCTCGTGGATGGGTGGGATCTGCCCCTCTAGCTTCGGCAGCTCATGCTGCAGGGTGTCCAGGAGCTGCAGGCTTTGGCCCAGTTCCTCCAGCGTCTGCGGTGGCCGGCTGACTCTGTGGGCCAGAGCGGGGAAGAGATGGAGTGAGCCAGGACTGGGTCAAATGACGGGGGCTCTCTCGTGCCTGCGCATTCGTTCGGACTTGCCACAGCTGCTCTGCTCAGGGAAAGGCATTGATACTGCGAGCCAACACTGGTCCTCTCCATGGGAGCCAGCAAGGGGTCTGGTCCGAGCCAAGGCGGGGGCCCTATTTAATAGCAAGGGGCCAGCTGACCACTCCACCGTAAGCTGCCGAACCTCAGAACCACAGAAGGGGTGAGAGATCAGGCCCGGAGAGGGGATGTCTTGGGGCTTTTGCTATTTTCTGTTACTCTCAAGTGCTTTAAGAGTAAAATCACTGTGGTTAGGAAGTTCCCCTGCTGAGCCTGGGTTCCTCGCTTTCCTGCCGTGTTTCTCTCTGACGGGGTTAAACTAGGAGCCCGGAGTGCCCCCTAGATGGGGCTTTGCAGGACTGGAGGGCTTGGCTGGACAAGGGCATGCCATGTCCCAGGGAAAAGCGTCAGCCAGGGCCCCAGAATCCCAGAGCTAGAAACAGTGATTAGACTCTACCCAGACCCCGCTGGCATGGAAGCACGTGGGACCCAGAGATGGTGATGGTACAGTGGGTAACTGGGCCAGTTTGTAACAGGAGAACTCGCATCGGTGGGGAGAAGGGAAGGCCAGAGAGGAGCCTGCCCAGGGAGAAGGGCATGGGCTGTCTCTGCCCCAGGGTGTGGGGTGCAGGTAATGGGGCAGGAAGGAAGGGGCCTGTCCAGGGAAGGCCTCACTTCTTGGCGTTCTCCTGGAGGTAGGCGTACAGCTCCTGCAGCTGGGTACTGGCCATCTCATTCAGCAGGTTGGTGAGCTTGTTCTGCCACTCGTTGCAGTGCTGGACCACGGAGAACTTGAGGTGGGAGCAGTCGAGCATCACGAACTGGATGTTCAGCACCGTCTCCTCCTTCTGCACGTTGTTGGCCACCTCCATGTACCTGCCATGCACAGACACAGACCCACCCTTCAGCCAGCTGCTCAGTGCAGAGCGGGAGGGCCGAGCTCTCCGGCGCACACATCCACGGGGCAACGGAGGAGAATCCCAGGGGGACTCTCTGCATGGAGGTGACTCGTTGGGATTAGTTCCTTCACTGGAGACACTGGAATTCACACAGAATGGATCAGGGGAGAGATCGTCAGATCCGTCTCACCTGAGCTACAGGTGCTTTGTGGAAAACCAGCATGGCACTAGGGGGCGCTCTGCTGGAGACAGCTCTCTCCTCGCAGTCTGTGCTGACGCCTGTGCCCTAGCATGCACTAGGGGGCGCTGTGCTGGAGGTAGCAGGTTGAATGGGCCCCTAGGGGGTGCTGTTCCCTCAGAGGCAGTGCTGACGCCAGTGCCCCAGCATGGCACTAGAGGGCGCTGTGCTGCAGGGAGCTCTCTCGCTCCTCGCAGTCAGTGCTGACGCTAGTGCCCCAGCATGGCACTAGGGGGCGCTGTGCTGCAGGCAGCCGTGTAGTTAACCCAGTAGCCGAGTTCTCCGTTTTCTGTCAGTACACGGCCTCCCCCCCCCGCCAAACTCCTGCCCATGATACAGACAGGGCCGGCTCCAGGCACCAAGCACCCAAGCTGGTGCTTGGGGCGGCACCTGGAGGGGGGCGGCGGCGCGGCGCTCTGGCCGCTGGGGGGAGGGAGAGCCGAGCCCCAGCCGGGGCTCGCCGCCCTCCCCCCA